CTCACGGACCCCCAACGATGAGACACTATTTCTCCCACTGACACCAACAATGGAGTACTATTCCTTCCACTGACACCAACCATAGAGCACAATTTCTCTCACTGACACCAACAATGGGGCACTATTCCTCCCCCTGACACCAACCATGGGGCACTATTCATCCCACTGACACCAACAATGGGGTACTATTCCTCCCCCTGACACCAACAATGGGGCACTATTCCTCCCCCTGACACCAATGATGGGCCACATTTTCCCACTGACACCCAACATACGTGGAAATTATTCCTCCTTTCACCTACCATAGGGGCTAAGCCATTTTTTTTACTCCAACTGACCACTGATACCGGCATTTTTTTACACTCTTCACAGTCTGACCCTATACTTGCTTTTACTTGGTCCTTGGGGAATTATTTCATTCTCTGACAGGAATGAAGCAGGGAGCAACAATGGAGTACTATGCCTCCCCCTGACACCAACAAAGGGGCAGCTATTTCCTCCCACTGACATCAACAATAGGGCACTATTCCTCCAAATGACAATATTGCTGTCTATGTCCATGCTGGGGGATTGTGCCCTGTTTCATGAACTGCTGTCTCTGTGATTGAACATTTGGGAGAATGTCCCCAGTGGTGCCACAGACAGTAATTAAAACCAGTCAAGAGTTTTAACCCCTCTCCAATACACTAAAAAATTTTTAATGATTGTGATGGGAGTCACTTTGGGTGGGGGGGGCCCATGGAACACAGCTCACTTTGGAGAGGTGGGGAGACCTCTGTCTCAGCTCCCCATATCCCCCTCTTATGTATAAGTCACCCTGTGCCTGTTAGGGGTGCAGGGTGATATGTCATAATATTGTGTAGACATGTATAGGTGGGGTGGGGGTTGTTCATTGTTTAATGCCAGGTGGTTGTATCCCATTGTTCTATTGTGTGTCTTGCTTGGGAGCAAACTATTATGGGATGTATGTGTTTGTGTATTGGCTTGGTGGGGGGTGTCTGCTGATGTGTCTCTTGTTGCTAGATGTGGTTTGCCCTGCCCTGTGTAATTATGCAGAGAGGGGGAATTGTTCCTTGAATGTATATATCTTGTATCTGTGTTAAAATAAAGTAGTCTATTTTCTGATTTATTTCAAGACTGGTCTTGTCTAGTCTCGTATGGCCAGCGGTGGTGTCCGTGAACGGTGTTTGGACAGGAAAGCGGTATTATAACGGAAATACACAAGGGCAGTTGGGTCCGGTTGCGTTACACTGATGTCTGTGTCCCTGTTGGATGGTCTTTTCCTAATGTCTTACCAAGCAGACCACTATAAATAAGCCATTTCCCACTCTATCTAAAAAGTTTTGGTTGCTATGATAAAGAGTATGGTAGAGTAGAGTCTGTAGATCAGGATGGTTACGATATGTCAGAAATGTCACATGGAATGATTTGCAAGTGGTAAAGTTGAGAATGAGCTCAGATTTGGTCCAAACTTGGGTTTGGATCGAACCCAGAAGGAAAGTGCCCAATTAACCTTGGCTAGGGCATTCCATACCCCACATCTTTACGTGTACAAAGGGGTGGGGATGCTTGTGACTAGAGATGAGCGAATCGAAACCAGGCGAAGTGGAATTCGTTTTCGAATATCGGGAAAAATTCGATTCGCATCGAATCCGAATTTTAGCCAACTTCGGGTGCACGAATCGAATTTTTCCCGATCAGCCGGCAAAAGTGTCACTGCAGAGAGCTCCGCTATTTCTGACAGTTCTGACAGTTTTTATCATTTACAGCGGTTGAAACATTGTATCTATTTGTTTCCATTTAGGATACAGATGTTTTTATTCGGAAATAAATAGATACAATGTTTCAACCGCTGTAAATGTGAAGGAACTGTCAGAGAACTGTCAGAAATAGCGGAGCTCTCTGCAGATACACTTTTTGCTGTACTGGAATACTTCTTCTTTTCATTCTTCTTCTTCTTTTCATCTTCTTCTTCTACTTCTTTTCATTCTTCTTTTTTTCCCTTCTTCTTCATTCTTCTTCTTCTTCTTTTCTTTTCATCTTCTTCTTCTTCTTTTCATTCTTCTTTTCATTCTTCTTCTTCTTTTCAGTCTTCTTTTCATCTTCTTCTTCTTCTTCTTCATTCTTCTTCTTCTTCTTTTCATTCTTCTTCTTCTTCTTTTCATTCTTCTTTTCATTCTTCTTCTTTTCTTTTTCATTCTTCTTCTTCTTTCATTCTTCTTTTCTTCTTCTTCTTCTTTTTTCATTCTTCTTCTTCTTTTCATTCTTCTTTTCATTCTTCTTCTTCTTCTTTTCATTCTTCTTCTTCTTCTTTTCATTCTTCTTTTCATTCTTCTTTTCATCTTCTTTTCATTCTTCTTCTTCTTTTTTCTTTCTTCTTTTCATTCTTCTTCTTTTCTTCTTCTTCTTCTTTTCATTCTTTTCTTCTTCTTTTCATTCTTCTTTTCATTCTTCTTCATTCTTCTTTTCATTCTTCTTCTTCTTCTTTTTCATTCTTCTTCTTCTTCTTCTTCTTCTTCTTCTTCTTTTCTTCTCTTCTTCTTCTTCTTCACTTTTCATCTTTTTTCTTTTCATTTCTTCTTCTTCTTTTCATTCTTCTTTTCATTCTTCTTCTTCTTTTCTTCTTCATTCTTCTTTTCTTCTTCTTCTTCTTCTTTTTCATTCTTCTTTTCATTCTTCTTCTTCTTCTTCTTTTCATTCTTCTTCTTCTTCTTTTCATTCTTCTTTTCATTCTTCTTCTTCTTTTTTTTCTTCTTCTTCTTCTTTTCATTCTTCTTTTCATTCTTCTTCTTCTTTTCATTCCTCTTTTCTTCTTCTTTTCTTCTTCATTCTTCTTCTTTTCATTCTTCTTTTCATTCTTCTTTCTTCTTCTTTTCATTCTTCTTCTTTTCATTCTTCTTTTCATTCTTCTTCTTTTCATTCCTTCTTCTTTTCATTCTTCTTCTTCTTCTTTTCATTCTTCTTTTCATTCTTCTTTCTTCTTCTTTTCATTCTTCTTCTTCATTCTTCTTCTTCTTCTTTTCATTTCTTCTTCTTCTTCTTTTCAATTTTTCTTCTTTTCATTCTTCTTTTCATTCTTCTTCTTCTTCTTTTTCTCATTCTTCTTTTCATTTCTTCTTCTTCTTTTCATTCTTCTTCTTCTTTCTTTTCATTCTTCTTCTTCTGCTTTTCATTCTTCTTCTTCTTCTTTTCATTCTTCTTTTCATTCATTCTTCTTCTTCTTTTCATTCTTCTTTTCATTCTTCTTTTCTTTTTTCATTCTTTTTTTCATTCTTCTTCTTCTTTTCTTCATTCTCTTTTTCTTCTTTCATTCTTCTTTTCTTCTTCTTCTTCTTTCTTTTCATTTTTTTTTCTTCTTCTTCTTTTCATTCTTCTTCATTCTTTTCATTCTTCTTTTCTTCTTTTCTTCTTCTTTTTTTCTTCTTCTTCTTCTTCTTTTCATTCTTCTTTTTCATTCTTCTTCTTTTCCTTTCATTCTTCTTCTTTCTTCTTTTCATTCTTCTTCATTCTTCTTTTCATTCTTCTTCTTCTTCATTCTTCTTCTTCTTTTTTCATTCTTCTTTTCTTCTTTTCATTCTTCTTTTCTTTCTTCTTTTCATTTTTCTTTTCATTCTTCTTTTCTTCTTCTTCTTTTTTTTTCTTCTTCTTCTTCATTCTTTTCATTCTCATTTTCTTCTTCTTTTCATTCTTTCTTCTTCATTCTTCTTTTTCATTCTTCTTTTCATTCTTCATTCTTCTTCTTTTCTTCTTTTCTCTCTTCTTTCTTCTTCATTCTTCTTCCATTCTTCTTTCATTCTTTCTTCTTCTTCTTCTTTTCATTTCTTTCTTCTTCTTCTTCTTCTTCTTCTTCTTTCTTCGTTTTCTTCTTCATCTTCTTTCATTCATTCTTCTTCTTTTCTTTTCATTCTTCTTCTTCTTCTTCTTTTTCTTCTTCTTCTTTTCATTCTTCTTCTTCTCATTCTTCTTCTTCTTCTTCTTCATTTTCTTCTTCTCTTCTTCTTTTCATTCTTCTTTTTCTTCTTCTTCTTTTCATTCTTCTTCTTTTTCATTCTTCTTCTTCTTCTTTTCATTCTTCTTTTTCATTCTTCTTCTTCTTTTCATTCTTCTTCTTCTTCTTTTCATTCTTCTTTTCATTCTACTTTTTCTTTTCTTCTTCATTCTTCTTCTTCTTCTTTTTCATTTCTTCTTCTTTCTTTTTTTCTTCTTTTCTTCTTCTTTCTTCTTCTTTTCATTTTTCTTCTTCATTCTTTCTTCTTCTTTTCATTCTTCTTCTTCTTTTCATTCTTCTTCTTCTTTTCAGTTTTCTTTTCATTCTTTTCTCTTTCTTCTTCTTTTCTTCTTTTTCTTTCTTTTCATTCTTCTTTTTCTTTTTCTTCTTTTCTTTTCTCATTCTTCTTTTCTTCTTCTTCTTCTTCTTCTTCTTCTTCTTCTTCTTTTCATTCTTCTTCTTTCATTCTTTCTTCTTTTCTTCTTCTTTTCATTCTTCTTCTTTCTTTTCTTTTTCTTCTTCTTCTTCTTCTTCTTTTTTTCTTTTCTTTTTCTTTTTTTTCTTCTTTTTTTCTTTTTTTTCATTCTTCTTTTCTTTTTTCTTTTCTTCTTTTCTTCTTTTTTTTCATTCTTCTTCTTTTTTCATTCTTTTCTTCTTCTTCTTCTTCTTTTCATTCTTCTTTTTTTCTTCTTCTTTTTCATTCTTCTTCTTTTCTTCTTCTTTCTTCTTTTCTTTCTTTTCATTCTTTTTTCTTTTTCTTTTTTTCTTCTTTCATTTCTTCTTCTTTCTTCTTCTTTTCATTCTTCTGTTCATTCTTCTTTTTTTCTTCTTCTTTTCATTCTTCTTTTCATTCTTCTTCTTTTTTCTTCTTCTTCTTTCTGGCAACTCCACCACGCAGCTCATTTTTGTTCCAGTATTACTGTATTTTGCTCCTTCAAAATCCTGAAACTTTCTTTTGGCAGGTGTACAGACTCAGGTACTCAGTGCAGGAATGGTGGGAATCCCTCACAATGGACACAGCAGGTGTACATACAGACCCAGGAATTCAGCACAGGGATGGTGGGAACCCCTCATAATGGGCACAGCAGGTGTGCATACCCAGAACCTCAGCACAGGGGATGGTTTTTTCCCCTAGTAATGGGCGCAGCAGTGTGCAGACCTTGGACCTCAGCACAGGGATGGTAGAAACCCCTCATAATGGGAACAGCAGGTGTACAGACCCAGGAATTTAGCACAGGGATGGTGGGAACTCCTCCTAATGGGCAGAGCAGGTGTACAGACCCAGGAACTCAGCACAGGGATGGTGGGAACTTCTCATAATGGGCGCAGCAGGTGTGCAGACCTGGAACCTCAGCACAGGGATGGTGGGAACCCCTCATAATGGGCACAGCAGGTGTGCATACCCAGAACCTCACACAGGGATGGTGGGAACCCCTCATAATGGGCACAGCAGGTGTTAGGGGGTTTAACTCTCCAGCATCCATTAGAGACTGATATAGTAATATAGTTCATTCTTCTTTTCTTTCTTCTTTTCATTTCTTCTTCTTCTTCTTTTTCATTCTTCTTCTTCTTTTCATTCTTCTTTTCATTCTTCTTCTTCTTTTTTTCTTCTTTTTCATTCTTCTTCTTCTTCTTTTTTCATTCTTCTTCTACTTCTTCTTCTTCTTCTTCTTTTTCATTCTTCTTTCTTCTTCTTTTCATTCTTCTTCTTTTTTTCATCTTCTTTTCATTCTTCTCATTCTTCTTTTCATTCTTCTTTTCATTCTTCTTCTTTTCATTCTTCTTTTCATTCTTCTCATTCTTCTTTTCATTCTTCTTTTCATTCTTCTTCTTCTTCTTTTCATTCTTCTTCTTCTTTTCATTCTTCTTCTTCTTTTCATTCTTCTCATTCTTCTTTTCATTCTTCTTTTCATTCTTCTTCTTTTCATCTTTCTTCTTCTTCTTTTCATTCTTCTTCTTCTTCTTTTCATTCTTCTTTTCATTCTTCTTCATTCTTCTTTTCATTCTTCTTCTTCTTCTTTTCATTCTTCTTCTTCTTCTTCTTCTTCATCGTGCCCCGTGACTGCCCAAATAAGTGAAGTGTGCGGTGATTCTAAGATCGACGGCACTCATCTGCATGTCATACTGACTGACAGTATTATTTCTCTTCCCCAGCAGACTCCAAGGGCATTTAAATTAAAGGTACAGTGTTCTGCACTAATATAAAGGCTCTCTGAAGCCTAGAAACCCTTTAAATAAGTTAAATTCGCGGCAAATAAATTTTGCATCGAATTTTCTCCCGCAAATTCGGCGAATCAGCCGAATCGAATTTTTGAATAATTCGCTCATCTCTACTTGTGACAATTGACAAATCTGAACTAAATCCAAGCTTATCCTTACTTATGATATCTGGGCAGTGAAGGACATCCTTGTGGGAAGAAATAAGAACTTGCACATACATACATCAAAGAAAAGAGAGTCACCCTCTATTTTAAGTCAAGGTACATGGTAAGATAGTTATACCCAATTTGTTTGAGTTTCAATTTCAGCCTTTTTATGGACAGCTTTTAGTTGACTAAGCTTTGGATCTCCTCAACTAGAATCTGGTAATCAAATTATCTCCCACCAATCACCTTCTTACTTAGGTGTCTGAAAGCCCCACAGCTTGGGGTATCTTTAACATTATTACATGAATATACAATACAAACCCATTACCTGTGCACATGACTGCAGCAAAGACCCAGCACTGCCCATATTTAAACTGGGCGGCAGTCTCCTTTATACCATTGTCTTAAAATGGCAATACTCCCATTCCACGAGGAAGGACTGCTGCCATTTTCATAATTCTCACTCCAATTTCCTTGAAGGACTCCATTATCATCATTAGAGTTAATCTAAATATTAGAAAAATAACAGTCATTGCAAAACAGTAAAGAATATAACAGAATATACCAGACACTCAATCTGGTATATGAAACACATAAATGGTCCATATTTGCTGAACACATTTTATATAGATTATTACATAGCTTTATTTGCATTAACATTTTGAAAAATGTTATGTTGTAGAATAAAGAACTAATCTTAGATTGTTTGGCCAAAATATACCACATGTACCACAGTTAAAGATAAGTTCACCTATTGTAACATCCCACTGGCTTCCAATTGCGCAACGGATCAAATTCAAAATCCTAACACTGACGTACAAAGCCGTCCACCATACTGCCCCGAACTACATCACTGACCTAATATCCAAGTACCACCCAACACGCACACTCCGCTCCTCACAAGACCTCCTTCTCTCTAGTTCCCTGGTCTCCTCCTCCCATGCCCGCCTCCAGGACTTCTCCAGGGTGTCACCCATCCTCTGGAACTCCCTGCCCCAACCCATCAGATTAACACCTACTCTCCTCTCCTTTAGGCGCACCCTGAAAACCCATCTCTTCAGGGAAGCCTACCCCACCCCCTGCTAACTTGACCGACCTCCTCCACTCTTCCCACCACTCCATCCCTCACAGCTATCTCCTCCTGTACCACTATCCCCTCCCTCCTAGATTGTAAGCTTGAAAGAGCAGGGCCCTCAATCCCCTCATGTTTTGCATTGTATTGTTATTGTTCTGTCACATGTTCTGTCCCACTTTGTAATGTACAGCGCTGAGCGAACTATTGGCGCTTTATAAATACTGTATAATAATAATAATAATGGTCAGTCCGACCCCCGCTCTCCCCTGCTTTGACAGCTAACGGGGATCTTCCCCCTCCTCCCGCTAGCTGTCAAATTTAAGAAAAAAACATCCGTGTGGGGTTCCACTCACCCAACCGCATTACTCATTCACAGTCCTTAGCGACTGTCAGCTTGTAGTCCTCAATGAACTACCACGTCACTGAGGAGCCCATATGAATTTTTTTTTAGACAGATAAAACTTTATTTTGGTGGTATTTATTCACCACTGGGATTTTTTTTCTTTTTTGCTATATAAATAAAAAAGTCAAAATTTTTTTTTTTAAAAGTGTTTTTCTTATAAAATTTTGCAAATAAATAATCTTTCTTCATAAATATTGGCCAAAATTGATTCAGTTATCTTTTTAGTAAAAAAAAAAAACCCCAAATTAGTTTATAACCAAAAATTATAATTTTTCAAAATTTTTTTAATTTTAGATTTTTTTTTATATTATTATTTATGGGTTTTTTTAACATACTGTCACCCTAGTCATCCTTACTACTATTCATGTGATCACTGATTGGCCAATCAGTGATCACATGATTGGGGACCTCATACAGAGGTGCTGTACAGCGATCGGTGTTCCGTTGTGTCCTCTGGACACAGCGGGCACCGGATCGCGGTGTAGCACGCTCCCAGGGAACGTGCACAGGCTGTAAATGTGGGCACCATTTATGAATGGCAACCCACTCCTGCACTGCTCCCGTCCAGCCGTTTATGTACATGAGCTGGACAAAAAGTGGTTAAAGAGTATGTCAACCCAAAATTTCATATTCCTGATATATGCCTGCTGTACCATGTACTTGTATGCAAATGTATCCTGTTCTCTTTGTATGACTTCCTTTTTGTGAAATGCCTGGTGTTCCTGTCAGTCCCCCTGCTTTTCTATTAAAAACTGGCCATACTAGTCAGGGGAGCACAGCATGGTCAGTTTTCTGACCATGAACTCAGCTTGCTCTCCTCCAATGATCAGGGCTGCTACTCCCTCCCCTCTCCCCCCACATACAGCCATTCACTGGGAATATCAGTGTGCTACTGCTTCTCCTTCTGCAGCTCTCTAAGATCCCTATGCAGCGGAGAACAGAGGGTATATATACAGGTGAAACTCGGAAAATTAGAATATCGTGCAAAAGTTCTTTTATTTCAGTAACGCAACTTAAAACTAATGAAACTAGTGAAACTAATATATGAGATAGACTCATTGCATGCAAAGCAAGATAGTTCAAGCTGTGATTTTCATATGTACACACAAATGTTTTGCCTTTCATATCTATTTTCAACTGAATGGGTTGTTTTACAAAGGTGAGGATTCACATATACTTTAACTATTTCACAGCTAATAAAGAATTGATTATTTACGTATTTATCTATTGGCGCACTGAACAATCAGCAAAGTGCTGGAATCCAAGTACACTGAATTGACAGTATTCTACAATATTTCATTATAGCTGAGTAGTACCACATTGGGGTACCAGAATCAACTTTCTAAAAGTGAACTCCAAGAATCCTTACAATCCTGCTATCCCCCTTCCACTGCAAGGGTCTAATGTTGTTTTTTCTAGTTGGTTTGGAAGAAGCACAATACTAAGGGCTCTTTCACATGGGCAGCCAGAGGTTAGTAAATACAGGTGGTTGAGCCATGATTTAACAACCCCCCCAACTGCCCAGCTAAATTCTGCTATTGCCGCTGGATGGGCTTTACACATGACGCAGCAATGACAACTTTAACTTGGCTTGCAGATGTCACTGTCTGCCAAATGCACCCATTAAGGTCAATAGGGTCGTGTCGCAACCATGAGCTAAATGTGTGGCTCACAGTTAAAATGCAGTATATTAACCACTTGCCGCCCTGCCACTGTAGAAATACGGCGGCAGGGCGGCACGGGCAGGCAAAACCATGTTTTAAAACGTGTGTTTTGTAAACAGATAGGGGGCGCGCACGAGGTGCGCCGCCGCCCTATCTGTCCCACCGAACACCGCCGCGGATGTCAGTCGCCGGGTCACAGCCGCTCCTTACCAGCTGTTTCCCGGCGATCGGCGGCAAACAGTGACAGACAGCACAGCTGCAGTAGCTGTGCTGTCTGTCACTTCCCTGACAGCTTGAGGACGAGCTGATTGAGAAAGAAGAGTTTCTCTCTCTCGATCAGCGGTGTCCCGTGCAGCACACACCCCCGCCCCCTAGTAAAACACTCCCCTCACACAGATAACCCTTCCCTGCAAAATAAAGTTAACCCCTTCCTCCCCAGTGCCATTAGTACAGTGTCAGTGTTTTTTTTTTTTGCACTGATCACTGTATTAGTGTTTTTGGGGATGTCAGTGACCCCAAGTCAGTACCCCCCAATGTCAGAATGTCCGCTGCAGTCCCGCAGTCCCGCCATAAGTCGCTGCCATAAGTCACTGATAGACGCCATAATTCACTGATCGCCGCCATTATTAGTATAAAAAAAAAACTAAAAATCCCAGTATCTTTCCCGCCATTTGTAAACGCTATAGCTTTCACGTAAACCAATTAATTTACACGTATTGGGTTTTTTTTTTTTTAGCAAAGACATGTCGCAGAATGCATTTTGGCAGAAATTTATGACTAAATTTGATTTTTGCATTTTTTTTTACTGGACATGTTTTATAGTAAAAAGTCCAAAATATAGTTTTTTTTTCCTCAAAATTGTCAGCCTTTTTTTTTTATAGCGCAAAAAATAAAAATCGCACAGGCAATAAAATACCACCAAAAGAAAGCTCA